CGATGGCTGGAATCACCCTTGCAGACTCAATCTACCGGGGTTCTTGGACAATGCAAGTGAAGGGTGAAGGTTTGCATATTGGTGATTGTCCATACGGATCCAGTGACAATGTGGACAGTGCAGCTAGCGGAGAAGGGTCGATTGACTCGACCGTCTCGCATTGCATCACGAGAGCCACTTGAAGTAGATGTCGGAAGCTCTTACAGACCACGTAGCCTTCTCCTCGTAGACCGCTGCAACAATCCTTGACGAGTGTTGTCGTCTTCCATTCTGCCTCGAATGACTTTCTGGATGTAATCGTTCCTTGCTAGATCCAGGGATCGCTTCAAACTGAAGTATTTCAATCTGGGATTGACCACAAGTGCATCAACAATCGAGGAATGTCCACCCTTGACCGCCAACATCAATGGATCCTCAGACCATCGATTCCTGAGGCTCACATCAATTCGATCATGGCGTAGTAGTGCCTGGACCATCTCCAAGTCACCGCCACGGGCGGCCATGCAGAGAGCAGTGTCGTGAGTTGCGATCGTGCTTTCGTTGATGTTCAGACGTGCGCCTTGCTGCACTAAGAGTCCTACAACATCGAGATGGCCTTGTGCAACCGCTCGACAAAGGGACGGATCGATCACGTCCCTTCCATTGATCTCCACGCTCTCCATACTCAGTAGACAAGCAACTGTGTTCACGCGTCCGTGATATGCGGCCACGGAGATTGGAGAGTGGCCTGCAACACAGAGATTCAGACTGATCCCTGGCACCGCAAGCAGCCGTCGTAGGAGCACAGTATCCAATCTGACCGCGGCGTGGTGGAGAGATGTAGACGGTGTCTCGGATGTCCCGCGGCCTCCAACAAAATTAACGTTGATGTCTTTCTCGGCCAACAGCCTGTCGGTTATCCCGTCGCATGACGAGTAAGTAGACAGCCAAAGTGGCGTATTGCCATCTTTGTCTTTGCAGTTCACGTTGGCACGGGGGTGACTTAGGAGCAAATTGACCATTTCCAAACGGTTGTTTTGAACGGCGAGATGGAGCGCCGTAGAGCCTTTCCGGTTTTGAATATCCAAACTAAGACCTTTTTGTCTGAGAAGTCGTTTGACAGCGTCTACCGACCCATAGGATACTGCTTGGTGAAGAGGCAGCTCAGCCTCCTG